TGAGCCAAAAGCACACGCCCTCCTCGGCGACAGCTCTGGCAACAACAAGACTGACGGGTGGTGCCTCGACACCGGGCCACCCATCACATGACCGGTCGACGGGAGTTCTTCACCGAGCTTGACTCTAGCGTCTGAGGCTCCATCAAGTTTGGGGATGCCACCGGCATGGAGATCAAGGGCGTCGGCTCCGTCATCTTCACCGCCGTGTCTGGTGAGCACAGGCTGCTCACCGGAGTCTACTACATCCCCGCGTTGAGGAACTCCATCATCAGCTTGGGACAGCTGGATGAGAACGGTTCACGCATGGTGGTTGAGGACGGAGTCATGAGGATTTGGGATCATCGTCGTTGCCTTCTTGCCAATGTATCTAGAAGCGCAAATCGACTCTACGTCCTTAATGTGCAGGTGGCACAACCCCTTTGTCTCGCTGCTCGTCGGGACAATGAGGCGTGGCAGTGGCATGAGCGTTTCGGGCACCTTCACTTTGAGGCCCTGAAGCGGCTTAGTGCCACGGAGATGGTGCGAGGCCTGCCGTTTCTCGACCATGTGGAGCAGCTCTGCGACGTCTGCGTGTTGACGAAGCAGAGGTGACTCCCCTTTCCCCAGCGGGTGAGCTTTCGAGCCAAGGAGAGGCTCGAGCTTGTGCACGGGGACTTGTGTGGCCCAGTGACACCGGCCACACCGGGAGGACGACGCTACTTCCTGCTGCTCGTCGATGACCTCTCCCACTACATGTGGGTGATGGTCCTCGGCAACAAGGGAGAGGCTGCGGACGCCATCAGGCGCGCGCAGGCTACTGCAGAGGCGGAGTGCGGCCACAACCTGCGCGTGCTGCGCACCGACAACGGCGGTGAATTTATGGCGGCTGAATTCGTGTCGTACTGCGCTGACGAGGGCATTCAGCACCACTACTTCGCGCCGTACAGCCCATAGCAGAACGGCATCGTCGAGCGGCGCAACCAGACGGTTGTGGGGATGGCTCGGGCCCTCCTCAAGCAGAGGGGGATGCCGACTGTCTTCTGGGGAGAGGTGGTGGTGACGGCCGTCTACATCCTCAACCACTCGCCTACCAAGGCGCTCAATGGCAGGACACCGTACGAGGCTTGGCATGGGCGCAAGCCGGTGGTCTCCCACTTGCGGGTCTTCGGCTGCCTCGCGTTCGCCAAGGAGCTTGGCCACATCAACAAGCTCGACGACAGGAGCACTCCGGGAGTGTTCATCGGCTATGCGGAGGGCTCGAAGGCCTACCGCATCCTCGACCCAAAGACACAGCGTGTGCGCACGGCGCGCGACGTTGTGTTCGACGAAGGGCGAGGATGGGCGTGGGACAAGGCGGTGGACGATGGCTTGGCTCCGACGTACGACGACTTCACTGTCGAGTACGTCCACTTCGAGGGAGCTGGCGGAGTAGGCAGCTCTTCTTCGGTGAGCGTGTCTACCCCAGTCCCCAAGCCTCCACCGACCCTGACGCCTGCTACTCCGACAACACCACGCTCTCCAGCCAGGACCTCGGCTATGATGAGTTCTTTGCCGGCTCCACCACAGCCGGCAACGCCACGCACTCCAGCACCGACAGGCACCACTCCGGGCATGTCTACCCCACCACCAGCTCATGTCAAGCATGGCCCGGTTGAGCTCGCTACTCCGCTCTCTCACGACGAGGAGCGCGTCGACATGTACCACGACAGCGAGCCATTGCAGTACCGTACGTTGTTGAATCTTCTCGGCGACCAGCTGGTGCCGGGACCGGTGCCTCATGACCTAGAGGCGCAGTTGCACCTTGCGTGTGACGACGGTGAACCTCGGTCATTTGCAGAGGCCGAGAGACACGCGGCATGGCGCGCCGCGATGCAGTTGGAGATGGATGCGGTTGAGAAGAACCACACCTAGGAGCTTGCTGACCTTCCTCGTGGTCACCGCACGATCACCCTTAAGTGGGTGTACAAGCTAAAGAGGGATGAAGCCGGTGCCATCGTCAAGCACAAGGCTCGCTTGGTGGCACGAGGCTTCGTGCAGCAGCAGGGGGTTGACTTCGACGACGCCTTTGCTCCCGTGGCACGGATGGAGTTCGTGCGACTCCTCCTTCCGCTAGCTGCCCAGGAGGGCTGGCGTGTTCATCACATGGACGTCAAGTTGGCGTTCCTTAACGGCGACTTGAAGGAGGAGGTCTACGTGCACCAGCCATCGGGATTTGCGATCCCCGGCAAGGAGGGCAAGGTGCTCCGCCTGTGCAAGGCCCTCTATGGCTTGCGGCAAGCACCGAGGGCATGGAATGCCAAGCTAGATTCCATGCTAAAGGGGATGGGCTTCGAGCAAAGCCCGCACGAGGCGGCCATCTACCGACGGGGCAGTGGAGGAAATGCTTTGCTGGTGGGTGTCTACGTCGATGACTTGGTGATCACCGGCACCAAGGATACGGAGGTGGCGGCATTCAAGGAAGAGATGAAGGCCACCTTCCAGATGAGTGACCTAGGACCTCTCTCCTTCTACCTGGGGATCGAGGTGCACCAGGATGATTTCGGGATCACACTTCGACAAACCGCCTACGCCAAGCGCGTCGTTGAGCTTGCTGGGCTCACCGACTACAACCCAGCTCTCACTCCGATGGAGGAGAGGCAGAAGCTAAGCCATGACAGCACGGCGGAGGAGGTGGACGCTACGCAGTACCGGCGTCTTGTGGGGAGCCTTCGCTACCTCGCCCACACACGGCCGGACCTGGCATTCTCTATCAGCTACGTTAGTCGGTTCATGCAGCGACCGACAACGGAGCACCAGCAGGCTGTGAAGAGGATCATCCGCTACGTTGCGGGGACTCTCGACCACGGCCTCTACTACCCTAGGTGCCCTAGGGAGGCACACTTCATCGGGTACAGCGACAGTGACCACGCCGGCGACATCGACACCAGCAAGAGCACAAGCGGGATCCTCTTCTTCCTCGGCAAGTGCCTCGTTAGCTGGCAATCGGTCAAGCAGCAGGTGGTGGCCCTGTCCAGCTGCGAGGCCGAGTACATAGCGGCCTCCACTGCTTCGACTCAGGCGCTCTGGCTCGCTCGACTGCTTGGTGATCTCCTCGGCAGAGACACTAGAGCGGTGGAGCTCAGGGTGGACATCAAGTCCGCTCTGGCCCTGGCAAAGAACCCCATCTTCCACGAACGCAGCAAGCACATCCGGGTGAGGTACCACTTCATCCGAGGCTGTTTTGAGGAAGGGAGCATCAAGGTGAGCTACATCAATACTAAGGATCAGCTTGCGGACCTGCTCACCAAGCCCCTTGGGAGGATCAAGTTTCTTGAGCTCTGCTCCAGGACCAGGATGGTTCAACTTCCCCACAAGACAATGCACAAGACTTAGGGGGAGAATGATGGATAAGTCTCTGTGTTGTGTTGGCTGGTCTTGCTGCCCAGCATCTTGACTGGACAGCAGCATCTTGACTGGACAGGGACTGGACTGCGGCATGGGACTGGACAGCAGCACTGCCCAGCATCTTGACTGGACAGCAACTTAGACAGCATCTTAGGACAGCATCTTAGAGGCATCTTAGGACAACATCTTAGAGGACAGCATATTAGCATCTTAGACTAGCATCTTGGCATATGCTTGGCTGGCTAGCAGCCTATAAATATGTATCCCCAACCCCTTAGGTTGACATGGCATTTGTGTGAGTTTATGTGAGAAATAAACCAGAAAATTGCCCCAACTCCTAGTGTCATCATCTCTCGATGAGAGTAAGAATTCTGCTACTACCGAGAGTAAGAGTTCAACGACTAACATCCTACAGGTTCTCGGTGAAAGGCCCAAGGGCTTGGCTTGTGCTCATGATGTGAAGCCGTGATCATGCGTGAAATGGCACAAAACACCCAACGACGCTCCTGGAGGCCAGGCCGACGAGGGGACAGAGGCACAGAGCCGGTGGTGATGGCCAGGACAGGCAGGCTAAGGCAACGTACAAAGGTGGGGGCTTGAGGCGGGGGTGCTCACCGGAGGGCTAGTCGGTGGCAGAACACGTGATGCTGGGAGGGTTCGAGGCTGGTAGAACGCGTTCATGTCGGTGTGCTGTCCTGACGAGGCCGTGTCCTGGCTGGTGGCGAGGTGGTGGCAGGGCTCGAGGTGAAGGTGCTCTAGGGAGGTTCGAAGTCCTCGGCGTAGGCTGTCGGAAGCCTGTAGGAGCAACTTGCTGACATCGAGGGCCGAGGTAGATCAGGCGCGGGTTAACGTCACAAACAGGAGAAGGTAGGCGCCTTTTGGCGAGGGAGGCTCACCGGTGGTTCTCAGTGCGGGGTCATGGCTGCGGCGTCGCGGTCACCGCCGTGGCAAGGCCGTGTTGCTCCGGTTCCTAGACAAGGAGGTGACGTCGAGAGGTTGGGAAGGTGCGGCTTCTCGCTGGCTTGAGGATGAAGGCGATGTTGACGGTGGTCTTGGACGGGTGTTCTCAGCTCCGCGTCACGGCGGTTCAAGGCCGAGATGGCGGCGTTGGGCGGTGGAGGTCACCGGCAGGTTTAGTGTCTCAGTCGTGCCGCTGAGTGGCGTTCTGCCGTTGTGGGTGCGTCCGCACTCGGCTCACGCTCGAGGCGGTGGCTTTGGCTGCAAGGCGGACGTTCAGTCGCCGTGCAGGTAAAAGGAGGCTTACCGGGTTGCGGTGGAACACGGGGCCGAGCAGTGCGGCGGAGTTCGAAACAAAATTTAGGTGGGGCGCATCGCAGACACAATTTTTTAATGACAACACAAGGACGCACATCAACGGCTAATCTATGGCAAATTTAAATAGCGATCGATGATGGTACCTCTAATTTGAAGATAGTAGTCCGTTAATTCAACAAAGACCAACCGAATAAGAATAAGTGTCCAAATTAAAGACCAAAATCCAACATTCCAAGAGCTAAAAAACCTATAAATTTGAAGAGAAAATTAGTTAGTGACTTAGTGTGTAATATATGAATTATAATGCACTAATAAAGTTATGAGGAGACATACCACTACATCACTAGCCTACTATTAAAGAACTAATCGTGTCTAGGTCTTCTTAGTGGCCTAGGCAAGTCAATAGCCCGATTTTTGATGGCTTGAAATGTCTTCCTGATTTCATCTCCATCAAGGCCTCTAAAAATCTCCTTCTCAATGTAACAGAGTATCAAGTCATTAAGCCATTCATCGAACATCCTATTGCGCAAATCTATCTTGATTATATTCATAGCCGAGAAGGCTCTTTCAACCGTGGCTGTTTCAACAGGTAGAAGCAATGCTAGCTTGATGAGGCGATAGACCAATGGAAAAGTGATGTCTCTTTCACTTTTAACCATGTGTACGGACAAACTTCTAAAATCATGACAAGCCTTGAATTGTTCAACTCTTCTCGTGTGAAGGATGAATGTTTGAAGTTGTTCTCTTATATTAGAGCGATCCACGTCAGAGAAATCTTCTTCATACATTTCAGTTAATTGAGCAATCTTTTCAACATCAAACTTGGAAAAGAAGTTTCTTGATCAAGACATGAGAAGCAAACAAGTAACTCTGATGATACCTCATTGAAGCGATGGTCCATCTCGGTGATAATAGCATCAATAGCAGCCAAGAAAGTATCAACATGGTAGTGATGCTCTTGAGTGATTAAGTTACCATCTAGCCTTGATTAACCCCATCTAGCCAAGAAAGTATCAACACGGTAATGTTATGCAGCTCGGGGTACGATCACCGAACACACACCAGCCAAGGCCGGGGCCGGGGCCGGGCGGAGCGGAGCTGAGGCAATGGTCATAGCGAATGCCAGCCGAAACGGCGAAAGAGAGAGTGGCGTGGTGCCTGCAAACTCGAGGTCGGTCACCGGGGCCACGGGCGGGCGGGCTGGCGTCGGCAACCGGCCGTACCGCAATGAGTGGCCGAGTGGGAGGCCGGGAGCGGCGGCGCGGCGCACCTCGGGGCTCGGGGCCGGTGCAGGCGGGGCGACGGGCGGCTGCAGCGAGCGGCCGAGCGCCGAGCGGCGCGGCGTGACTGCGTGAGCGAGCGCCGAGCGGAGCGGCGCGAATGGAGGAGCCGCCGAGCCAGGATGATTGCCGAATGGGAATTATGGATTTGGGGCTGGGGACACACACTTCCACTTGGGCCGGTTGCCATGCTGGGCTTATTGGGCCGTTTTTCATTGTGGTTGGGCGGCTGGCTGCAGCTCTCGCGCTCGTCGGCCGTCGCGGCAGACGCCATTCGCGCCGCTCCGCTGGCTGCCTGGCCAGAAGGAAGGAAGACATGAGGCTAGTAGTAGTGGTGCTACTCCGGCGGTAGGTGGGGTGCCCCACCCTGCCGCATGGGCAGCTCCGCCTCCGCCGAGGCTACGACGTCCGTGGCTCCGCGGCGAGGCGCGGAGGCTGTGGCTTCACGACGCAGCCATCGTCGCGTGCCTGACGAGGACGAGGGCTCCGGCGATGGCGACAACAAGATTGAGCTCGGTGCAGCCGGCTCCGGGAGGCGAGCACAGAGACCGCGCTCTGGCGCGTCGCGGCGAGGGAGCACAGGGAGTCAGAGAGGAGCGTGCTTGTGGCGGTGGACAGAGGGAGATGGCGAGGGCACTCGCTGGCTGGGGTTCTTATAGGCCGGCTGCTAGGGTTCCTGGCGAGGTGCACCGGCGTGCGGGCCGTTTGATGGGACGGCCGGCGCGACGTTGCGGCCATCCAAGGTACGGAGCAGGTAGCGGTCCGAGAAGCTTCGTGAAGGGCTAGGGCTGGCGCTTGGGTGTTGTGGGTCCAGGGCATCCCACGAAACGCGGCGCGGGTCGCGGCTCGGCGCTGCGGTTCAGTCCGTGGCTGAGGTCACGCGAGGCATCCGAGGCCGAGCGCCGTGGCTTCCGACGGAAGGCAGGGGAAACGCGGACGGAAGGCAGAGAAGCGTCGGTACGGAGAAAGACGAAGACGGAGGCGTTACGGTCGAATGACGGGAGGAAAAACGGAAGGAGTGGTCTCTGCGGCTGACGGCTGGGTCCGGGCCTACGGTGCTTTCCACGTCTGGCGCGTGGCAGCGGCTTCGTTTCCTCGCGCGTGCCGCGCGTGTGCGAGCGGGGAGGGCAGTGACGGTGTTTCCCAGCGCCCGTGGTGTGCACGCGAGGCAGAGAGGAAGAGCGGCGGCGGCTCCTTGCGCGTGCAACACACGTGAGGGCAAGGAAGCGTGGTGTCCAGCTGCTCTTGGTGGGCCGATGTCCGGGCTGGCCAGCTGGTGCGTGAGGGTCCATGTGCTAGCGCTAGCTGCTTGTGGTTGGGGCCCTGGTACGTACAAGGTACGAACGTGTAGAACATTGTATGGCGGTGTACACTTCTGTCAGCAGGCTCCAGCTCGAATACGTGCTCTTGAGCTGGCTTCTGTTGTATAGAAAACAACATGCACGAAGGGTTGGCTGCCTAATTACGTGATTCATGAAACTAGAGGAACGGCACAGGAGCTTGCATGCTCGTGCAGACTGCTGGCTAGGAGATTAAGGAGAAAGGATTCTCTATTTCCTACACAAGGATTTTTGGAGAAGGGCTACCTCCAAGGACACACAAGATAAGATCCAAACACTCATGCATCTATACTACATGGTGCACAAGATTATTGTAAATTCAGTTTGAATAAGGGGAAGAGGGAGTAGGGCCTTGTTTAGTTGCCCAAAGTTGGGAGTTTTGGAAGTTAGGAGTTTTCTGTAGCATTTCGTTTGTATTTGTGAATTATTGTCCAAACATTGACTAATTAGGCTCAAAAGATTCGTCTCGCAAAGTTAAACCAAATTGTATAATTAGTTTTTTTTTATCTACATTTAATACTCCATACATATATCAAAGATTTGATGTGATGTGATGTGATGAGGAATCTTACACTTTTTGCTTTTTGGAGGTGCAAACTTGGTGCAACTAAACAAGGCCTAGGTTTTCATTTGAAATCTGGGTTAGAAGAGGAAACAGTTGACTTAAGTTTGACCTAATATTACATGCAATACAATGACAAGCAATGTTTTAAGAAAAAATTTAAAAAGTTGGGTTTTTCATTACATGCAAAACTATGGGTTGTTACATCAGGACACAGCCATACTTGCTTTAGGGCAAGTCTGTCTTTTGGGAGCTCCGTTAGCCACCGTTTCCACCCAAAATGGATGGAATGGCGTGGAGAGCAAATAAGTTTGGAGCAGTGGCACATGTGACCGCTCGAACTTTTTAATGGCTTACAGACAATTACAATCTTTCATAATGGCACACAGATAAAAGTCTCAAAGATCTTTGGATAGCTAAAGGTGTGGGGTGTTTTGAATAGCCTATAATTAAAATTTCTTGCAAGCCCAAACACTAGGCAAAAGCGTTAGGACCAAAGAATGCCCTAATAATAAAGACATTTTCACAAAATCTAAATATTTTATTTAGATTTGTGTCCCAATCTATATTTAGAGTTTTTCAGATTTTTTTTTAAGATTATAGACACTCAGGGGATCCTCCCACGCCTAGTTCCAAGGCCGGGGTGATAGGTTTTTGCCTAGATGGACTGGGCTAGAAACCTCGCGTGGGCTAACCGAACGCAGCTTCTTTCGTGGGCCGGGATTAAATTCAAGACGGGTTGATCCACATGGAAAGGGCCGCAATCCCGGCGGGGAAGGGCCTAAACAAACGAGGCCTTAGTAAGGATTGGTGAAGGAAATAAATTAATAACAGGAGAAATCCCAGTCGTCGGCGATCCACATCCACCCTAACCCCGATCATGGCCGGCCGATGGTGGCGCGGCAAGAGCGACGGCGACGGAGACGGCGCTAGCACGAACCTATCGGGCGGCTCGCGGGTGGGCATGGCTCTCAACAGACGCGTGATGATACGATTCATGTACGGATACTACGAGGAGGCGCTCGACGCGCTGCCGCTGGAGCGCATACCAGCGCTTGGCCCGCGCCTCCTTGCCGCCGGCGTCTGCTTCGGCTTCGGCGACCCCGTTACCAACATCATCATCTCCGGCGAGGGCGTCGAGCCCGTGCCCGAGCCTGCCCGTCACCGTCGCCGGGAAGCGGAAGCCCTCGTGGGACGTGAAGACGAGGGACGAGATCCTCTCAAAGATCGTCGTCGCCGGCGACGACGTCCCCTCTCCTCCGGAGGCACGGACCATCTCGGAGCGCTCTCTAGAAGGCCTTGTTACTCTCCTGACATCGTATTACCGCTACCTTCCCATCTGGGATGCGCTGCGGTACACCGGCGGAGCCAAGTGCAGGCCTTACTGGGCTCCGGACCCTTGCTATCCAAGATTAATTAAGGTTTATCTGATCGAGCTAGATCGCTGCCAGCGTCGCAAGGACAAATTCTGCATCCACTCACTTGCCGTCAAGACGGCTCTCAAATGCGCTGCTCTGTCTGCGAGGCTGCTGTAAGCATAGAGATGCACTGGACGGATGGAATAAAGATAGTAGAACAGCAAGCAATTGAGGTAGGAATTCAGATGAATCTCATATAGAACAGAGGAGTACTTAGGAAGTAGAATACAAGTCTGTTGTTTGTTAATTCTCTCCCTCTTCCCATATGCGTTACATATACCACTCGAGTACGTCTCTCACTTGCCAGCTAGATGGATTCACGCCCACTCCGAGCCTTGGACACGCGTACTGGGCCGGTGCTCGCGCACGCTCCGTCTTGGCCCATCTGAGTTGTTGGCGTGCGCGGTGCCGTCAGAGTTTCCGGCGCCTTCAGCTGATGACGACGGTGCGTTGCTGACAGCTGCCCAATGTTGATGCGTTCCTCACCGGCTCGGCTGCGCTAGTGTCTCACCTCACCCAAATTGTGTCCACAGAATGCCGCCGCAGCATCTCTGTTCAAGACGTGGCCAAGATGTCTGGATTGCTGGAGAAGCCACTCAGGATGAAGAAGTCCAAGGATCATATGGATCTTGCTGATATGCGGTATCATCAGTATTAGATGAAGGTTTCAGCCATGCCGATACAATCACTGCGAGGCCTTCTTCTTGACAGAATCCATGTTCTATATCTCAAAGCAATTTCTGCTTTGCCAATTCAAGATTTCCAGAGTAGGCACCACCGTGGCCTCCTCAAGGCCGGTTACTGTTATGGTCCATTCCATCCTATCTTCAGTATCATTGTCAACACTATCTAGTATGACACGGCATTCCCTGCACCAAAAGAGTTCAAGCTCGACATGATTTGCACTCAGATCCTTATACGTGCTGAGTCTCGGTCCTTGGATGGTCTCATCCACCTGTTGCTTGCATGTATTTCTAACCTGAGTGAACATGATGCAATGGTTTATTTCTGGAACTTCCTCAAGCAATTGGGATGGCAAGGCAGGATGGATTCGACACAATTTGCTGTGATGCTGCTGCTTACAAAGCTGCTGCAGATGCATCATATCATCCTGAACCTGAGGCATATGTGAAGTTTGCGATGGAATCGCTTCCTACAGTGCAGGCTGCTGTCAATGAACTGTTGACTACACAAACACTCTTCCAGCAATATTCTTCAACTCTTCGCATTGTTGTCATCTTCAACGAGCTACGCTTATGAACCACTGGAGCCTTCGAAATGGTTTGAAGCTACGATGAGAACTTTCTCTCTCAACAGAATTTTGTTCGTGAAAAACTAGAAAGTTATATTGCAGAAAATTAATGAGCAAATTAAGGTTAGATCCACTTCTATTAATTCTCTACTAAGGAGTTCGAGTAAATTTACCTTTTCACCTTGTTTATCACGGCCGGCCCTGAGAGTGGGAAAGCAGGGCGGACGCCTGGCGCCCAATCCCACGGCCCCACCCCAGGCATACACTCAGTACGTAGCCATATCAGTACATGGCTTAGTTGGCTCGTTAAGGTCCACGGAAGCCTAGCAGATTGGCGTTCACGATTTGTTTATCGACTCTGCGACTACGACTTCTCATCTCGGAACCAAACCATAAATCTCGAACACAACGCAGCAACTCGACGCGATCATCCAACTCAACGGCGGTGTCGGAGACCAATACTAGGGTACCCAAAGAGGAGGAGCTAATGATCATCAACATTTATTCATCCACGCGATCAAGAGCGCGACTACGCCGCTTGCCGGGCTCCGCCTCGTCCGACCACCGAGGCCATGGGCCCTACCTCATCTGACCCCCGAAGGTTGGCTCCGCCTCGGTGGGCGCTGCGCCCATGGGCCCCACCTCGCCCGACCCCCGAGGGTTGGCTCCGCCTCACCCAACGTCTGAGGACTGGCTCCGCCT